GGCCTCTGTCTTGCTTTCCATGAGTAGACACTGAAGCCACGTTGTCTATGTCTTTGCTTCTCTTGTAGTTGAGTGTACTCTGCTTATTCTTTTTTTCTTAAAGGTTTTTATTTTTTTTAAATTTTATGATAGTCACAGAGAGAGAGAGAGAGGCAGAGACATAGGCAGAGGGAGAAGCAGGCTCCGTGCACTGGGAGCCGGACGTGGGATTCGATTCTGGGTCTCCAGGATCGCGCCCTGGGCCAAAGGCAGGCGCCAAACCGTTGCGCCACCCAGGGATCCCTCTGCTTATTCTTTGACCCAAAATTGTGGGGTTTGAGGATTGCCTCCCAGGCAGTGTCTCTGGTGCCCACAGAGCAGAGCTCACCTGCCTCTGCTACTGCAGATGGACTATTGCCTGCCTCCAGGTGCCTCCCTCTACCCTTCATGTCACCAGCAAAACAAAGTATGTCATAGTTTCTGATACCTTTGTAAATGGGATGATTTTATTTATTTTCCAGATAGTCTGCCACATGTTCCTTGCAATGTATATTGTAAATGCACTGATATCTGTAAATTGATTTTGCATCCTGAAGCTTCTATATTTGTTTATTTTTCTGACAGTTGTTCATGTAACCTTTAGTGTTTCTATACAAAGATCATTTCAACTACAAATAAAGACAATTTTACTTCTTCTTTTCCATCATGAATGCTTTTTTATTTCTCCTGTTTATTTGCTCTGGAAAATACTCTCAGAATTATGTCAAATAGATGTGGTGATAATGAGCACCCTTGTATTGTTTCTGATTCCATAAGGGAAGCTTTCCTGAAATTAAGAAATCAATGAAATGCGATGCAATCCAAACTGGAGATACTGACGATGAGGGTTAATGAGGTGGAAGAAAGAGTGAGAGACATAGAACATAAGTTCAGGACAAGGAAAGAAGCTGGGGAAAAAAAAGAGAAAAACAATTAAAAGGCCATGATGAAAGGTAAAGGGAAATAAATAATAGCCTCAGAAGGAAAAATCCACATATAATTGTGATTCCAGAGAGCGCCGAGAGGGACAGATGGCCAGAACACATATTTGAACAAAACATGGCTGAGAACTTCCCTAACTTGGGGAGGGAAACAGGCATTCAGATCTAGGAGAGAGGAGGCTTCCCCGCCCCCAAATCAATAAAAACCATTCAATACCTCGACATTTAATAGTGAAACTTGCAAATTCCAAAGATAAAGAGAAAATCCTTAAAGCAGCGAGAGATAAGAGATCCCTAACTTATATGGGGAGAAATATTAGATTAACAGCAGACCTCTCCACAGAGACCTGGCAGGCCAGAAAGGGCTGGCAGGATATCTTCAGGGTCCTAAATGAGAAGAACATGCAGCCAAGAATACTCTATCCAGCAAGGCTCTCATTCAGAATAGAAGGAGTGATAAAGAGCTTCCAAGATAGGGAGAAACTGAAAGAATATGTGACCACCAAACCAGCTCTGCAAGAAATATTAAGGGGGACCCTGTAAAAGAAAGAAGAAGTCCAAGGAAATAATCCGCAAAAACAGGGACTGAATAGGTATTACGATGACACTAAATTCATATCTTTCAATAGTTACTCTGAACATGAATGGGCTAAATGATCCCATCAAAAGATGCAGGGTTTCGAACTGGATAAAAAGCAAGACCCATCTCTTTGCTGTCTACAAGAGACTCATTTGAGACCTAAGGGCATCTCCAGCCTGAAATGAAAGGTTGGAGAACCATTTAGCATTCAAATGGTCCTCAAAAGAAAGCTGGGGTAGCGGTCCTTATATCACATAAATTAAAGTTTATCCCAAAGACTATAGTAAGAGATCGAGAGGAACATTATATCATAATTAGAGGGTCTATCCAACAAGAAGACCTAACAATCATGAATAGTTATGCCCCTAACGTGGGAGCTGCCAAGTATATCAATCAATTAATAACCAAAGTAAAGACATACTTAGATAATAATACACTAATAGTAGCAGACTTCAACACAGCATTTTCTGCAAATGACACATTTTCTAAGCACAACATCGCCAAAGAAACAAGAGCTTTAAATGATACACTGGACCAGATGGATATCACAGATATATACAGAACTTCCCATCTGAACGCAACTGAATAAACATTCTTCTCAAGTGTACATGGAACTTTCTCCACAATAGGCCACATACTGGGTCAAAAATCAGGTCTCAACTGATACCAAAAGACTGGGATTGTCCCCTGCATATTTTCAGACCACAATGCTTTGAAACTAGAACTCAATCACAAGAAGAAATATGGAAGATACTCAAACATGTGGAGGTTAAAGAGCATCCTAGTAAAAGATGAATGGGTCAACCAGGAAATTAGAGAAGAATTAAAAAGATTTATGAAAACTGATGAAAATGAAGATACAACCATTCAAAATCTTTGGGAGACAGCAAAAGCAGTCCTGAGAGGGGAATTACATCGCAATACAAGCATCCCTCAAAAAATTGGAAAAAACTGAACTACACAAGCTAACCTCACACCTAAAGAAACTGGAGAAAAAACAGCAAATAAAACCTACACCAAGCAGAAGAGAGATAATAAAGGTTCAATCAGAACTCAATGAAATAGATACCAGAAGAACTATAGAACAGATCAACAAAACCAGGAGTTAGTTCTTTGACAGAAGGGAAGCTTTCAACCTTTCACCATTGTATATGATGTTCGCTGTGAGATAGTCAATATAGCTTTCATTATGCTGAGGATCAATATAGCTTTCATTATGCTGAGGAGTGGCATCCTCTATATTATTCTATGCTTGTAATTTCTGCATATCGGCGTCTTTGACAAAAAATGCCCACTGATCAGAAAGGATTACACTCTTGCACTATTAGTGGGAATGTAAGGCAGGCAGCCTCTCTGGAAAACACTATAAAGATTCCTCAGATGTTAAGAATAGAACTTCCCTGTGATCCAGCAATTGCACTACTAGGCATTTACCCAAGGGATACAAAAATACTAATTCAAAGGGATACACTCTGATGTTTCTAGCAGCATTATTTACATTAGCCAAATTATGGAAACAGCCCAAACATCCAGCAGTTGTTGAATGGATAAAGATGATGTAGTGTGTATAATATAATATACTATTATATGTATATTATGACTCAGCCACAGAAAATAATGAAATCTTTCATTTCCATCAATGTAGATGGAGTTAGATTACGTTATGCTAAGTGAAACAGGTCAGAGACAGAGAAATACTGTATTTCACTCCTGTGGAATTTATGAAACAAAAAAAATTAGAGCGGAGGAAAAAGGGAGAGAGAGTCAGGCAAACCAAGGAACAAACTCTTCTCTACAGAGAATGAATTTATGGTTGTCAGAAAGAAGGTAGGTGGGGGGATCAGTGAAATAGAAGATGGGGATTAAGCAGGGCACTTGCTGTGATGAGCACCGGGTATTGTAAGGAAGTTTGAATCAATGGATTGTCATCTAAGTCAACTACAAAAGCCCACAGCAAATATCATTCTCAATGGGGAAGCACTGGGAGCCTTTCCCCTAAGATCAGGAACAAGACAGGGATGTCCACTCTCACCACTGCTATTCAACATAGTACTAGAAGTCGTAGCCTCAGCAATCAGACAACAAAAAGAAATAAAAGGCATTCAAATTGGCAAAGAAGAAGTCAAACTCTCCCTCTTTGCCGATGACATGATACTCTACATAGAAAACCCAAAAGCCTCCACCCCAAGATTGCTAGGACTCATACAGCCATTTGGCATTTCATACAGCCAGTGGCATTTCTACACACTAACAATGAGACAGAAGAAAGAGAATTTAAGGAGTCAATCCCATTTACAATTGCACCCAAAAGCATAAGGTACCTAGGAATAAATCTAACCAAAGAGGTAAAGGATCTATACCCTAAAACTATAGAACACTTCTGAAAGAAATTGAGGAAGACACAAAGAGATGGAAAAATATTCCATGCTCATGGATTGGCAGAATTAATATTGTGAAAATGCCAATGTTACCCAGGGCAATTTACATGTTTAATGTAATCCCTATCAAAATACCATGGACTTTCTTCAGAGAGTTGGAATAAATTATTTTAAGATTTGTGTGGAATCAGAAAAGACCCCGAATAGCCAGGGGAATTTTAAAAAAGAAAACCATAGCTGGGGGCATCACAATGTCAGATTTCAGGGTGTACTATAAAGCTGTGGTCATCAAGACAGTGTGGTACTGGCACAAAAACAGACCCATAGATCAATGGAACAGAATAGAGAATCCAGAAGTGGACCCTCAACTTTATGGTCAACTAATATTTGATAAAGGAGGAAAGACTATCCACTGGAAGAAAGACAGTCTCTTCAATAAATGGTGCTGGGAAAACTGGACATCCACATGCAGAAGAATGAAACTAGACCACTCTCTTGCACCATACACAAAGATAAATTCAAAATGGATGAAAGATCTTAGTGAGACAACATTCCATCAAAATCCTAGAGGAGAACACAGGCAAAACCCTTTTTGAGTGTGGCCACAGTAACTTCTTGCAAGACACATCCATGAAGGCAAAAGAAACAAAAGAAAAAATGAACTATTGGGACTTTATTCTTTTTTTTTAAAGTAAACTCCTATGGGATCCTTAGGACACTGACCCAGCCAGGTGTCCCTGGGTAAATTTCTGCTAATTGCCATTCATGCACACACACACACACACACACACACACACACACACAAAGGGTAAAAGAGGGGAAGATTCCTCTTTATTCAGATCCTCTTGACATGTCTCTGGTGAGTCAAGGGTAAGGAAACTTTCCCTGGGAACCTATACTTCCTGGGAGATGCAGGCCTTTGGCTCAGGCAAGCCTGTGGATCTCCAGAGAACATGAGGTATCCAACCCTGGGTCCATGTCCCTGATTGTCCTCAAGGCTTAGAACTGGTTCTCTGGCCCAGGCTGCAGCTTCTGACCCCACCTAGGGTCTGGGTGATAGGAAGGAGAAGTGCCATGAGGAAATTAGGAAGCCACTTCTGCTTTGTGGTTGATCTGGCAGTAAATGTTTTTGTCAGGGTGTTGTAATTCCTGTAAAACAAGAAGAGGCCTCTGAGCCCCTGTAACCTTCTGTGAACATATCTGTGTGACTTTCAGGTTCTAGTCCCACCTGGCCGCTCTCTGGGAGCTTGGCCATGTGGCATGTTTCTGCCTCAGGCCCCTTCTTCCCCCCACTATCCCCTGTTCTCCTTGCTCTTCTATTTTCTGAAACTGAGAGCACAGCCTTGGGCAGGCTTGGGGCAGACCTACGGCCCCTTTTGGGCTTCAGGGAGCAGAACCTTCAATTGCCCACACTCACCTGGTAGATTGGAACTGCTGCTGTGGAGCTGGGCAGGGAGTCCTAACAGGAGAGAATGGGTGTTGGTAGCAGAGGGGAAGGGTCATTTCTCTACAGGAGTGACCAGTTCTGCCTCTTGAACAGCATTCTGCAAATCTTTTGACCCATAACCCTCTCCCAGACCACTCGCCACTGTACTCCATGCACCATTCCTGTTAGCCCAGGACCCCTGGGGCCAACCCAGCCCATGGCTGGAATCCAGGGTTCAACTTTGGCTATCTCAGGGGAACAAGAAATCTCAGGACAGGGTGGGCTGGATCCTGCCCCAGAAGAGGTACATTCCTGGCCAGAATGGGACTTGCCTTGTCCTGGCTAGTCTAGGAGAGGCAGGGTATGCAAAGGAAGCTAAATTGGTTGCTGGTCCTACCTTTAGCCTGCACAGCCTGGATCCCAGTGAAAAGAGGAGAAGGAAAAAACTTACCGGGTATGTGCACCTGCTGGCTGGACCATGGCCTGGGGGCAGAGACATAGGTCAGCACCCAGAGTTGTGAGGAAGCTTGGGCCTACCATCCCAGGCAGGGACAGGTCCTGAGCTCTCAGGGTCCAGGGAAGAAGCAGCACCTCCCAGGGAGAGACGCATCGGCCTTTTAGGGCGCCGAGAGTGCCAGGTTATGATCTATGATCCAAACTCTAGAGGTCAGGGAATATGGACAGTGGAGTTCTCCTGTGCTGAAGCCCCAGAGAAAGGTCAGAAACCCCATGGGGTGACTCCAGGATTGGACACTGTGGGGCGGGACTATGGAGCTTCTAGTCACACCAGGGCTGAAGAGATACTCACCGGGGGTGGATGCTGGGATCCGGAGATCTTTGAGATCACGACAGGCACTGACCCTAAGAAAGATCGGGCTTAAGTGTGAGGGATGCAGGGCGAGGTCACAGTTTTGTCGTTATACTTGGGGATAAGGAGGACTTTCAGGCAGGAGTTACAGAAACCCTCTCTCCACCACTGTTGCTTACCAGGGCAAGGGCCCAGGGGAGGGGATAAGGAAAGGCATTGGAGCAAGTCTGTCCTGGGCCCAGATGGGGAGCCTTAGAGGTTGATGGTATCTAGGAGAACGTGTCCTGAAAAGCGATGGACCACCCAGGAATATATAAAACATGAGTATTTGAATGTGTAGAAGGGGCAAGGCTGCAGCGTCATGTTCAGGACATGTTGGGAACCCTGGGGATGCTGAATCCCTGAATGTGGGGCCCCTGCTGTATGTGACACCCCCTAAGGCCAGGAGATGCTGTATGTGACAATGACCCATCCTCTATTTCCATCTTCCTGGAAGAGGCATAAAGTACATCCCAGGACCTTCCCTAGTTGATCCCAGGTTCTCTGGTCTCACATAAGTGAGCGTGGTGCTGTCATGGTTCCTGCATCTGCAAGTTGGGGTGACCATCCCACGTGCCCTATCAGGTTTTTCCACTCTGCTGTGTGAGCTTCCCCAGGACCTCCCTTACATCCTGAGGCTGCAAATCCCCCTCACGGGACTCGTGGACTTAAATAAACCATGAGAAATGCCCTTTATTGAGCCCTTACTCCTGTCAGCACTGCTGTAGATTTGCCAAGTGAACCAGGACCACCCTGAGGAGCTGTTCCCCAATTGTGTCTAATTTACAACCAACGAGCCTGTGAAGGAAGCACCCAGGTCTGCAGCTGGTGAGGAAGGAGCCAGATGGAACGAGAGGGAAAATCCAGGGGACAGTTGGGAGCCCTGGAAGAGCCACTAGAATCCTAGGTCAGGACTGGCTCTCCCGACTGCCTGGAAGTCAGCTGTGGGACAGGATCATCTGTGAGAAATGCCATCATACCTTCCACTCCTTGTGCGGAGCAGGAGACACCCTGGGGCAGCCACGAGTGCTAGTCCGAGCAGAACCCCCGAGTGCAATGCCAATGATGGACCCCAAAGGGAGGCCTGTGCTGTTTCTTTTCTCTGAAATATGTAAAAAGGGAAGGGAAGGTGTATGAAGTCAAATCTGGGGATACCACGAGGGGCCAAGAAGGAAGGGCCTGCTTATGGAGGAAGTCAAGGCCACTGAGGTCTGGGTGGTTGTCACCACAGAGTCCTCACCCCCAGACTGCTGCATCACATATCTTCCTCCGATGAAACCATGAAATTTCTCTAATTCTCATGTTGTCCCCCACCAGTACCACCATTCTGTTCATCTTCCTATCACAAAATGCTTCTCCCCTGTGTCTTCCCTTTCATTGTCATTGATGATCCTACAGGGAGACCCTTATCCACTCAACGCTGATTAAAGGGAATAACATTAGCTGATGACTTCTGAGGGCACTTCTGTGTAAAGCACTTTGGATTTAATCTCATCTGCTTCTCTGCTCTTGAGGGTGTAATCCCCACTGTGCAAAATGAGTGTCTAAGTGTGGAAAGGGCTTAACTAAATCAGTGAAGGTCACAGACCTGTAATGTGAGAATACAGCACTGAATCCCAATTCCACGTGATAGTACAGCTAGTAACAAAAAGGTTAATGACAAAAAACATAATAGCTGCTAAATTTGATTGAGTCCCAAATTTGTGTATGAAGCTGTCTCAGGATTTCATCTCATGAGCTCATATTAACAACCCTCACAACAGCCTTAAGATCCAGCTGTTGTTTCCACTTTTATAGATAAGAACACTCAGGATCAGGAGCTTGAGTGCCTTTCCCAAGGTCCAACAGCTGGTACATATCAGAACCAAAAGGCTACAAGATTATTCTTAGTCTTGTTATCTTATCCACAAAGTCCCACAGGCCTACACTTCCTGCAGGTCTTTATCCATCCCATGCCAGGAAAATATACAGGAAGGAAAGTGGAGGAGTTGAAAGTCACTCATAGCTCACAGTCACACTGAGGGGATCACTTTAGCTGGAACTAACCAGCTCATACTGGTAATTCCCAGCATCCTCCCTCCTGACAGGGCTTATGGTCAGGGTGCTGTTCACCCGGGACAGCTCCATCAACTCTATGAGCTTTAGATTCTGCCCATTGAAGAACCACTGGATGGAACCCCAGTGTTATTTGTGGAGCATATCAGGACCACAGAGTCTTCCTGTTCTATAGCATTGGCATTATGTTCTATGTCTATGGCATTTCTGGCCTGGAGAGAGGGCTGGTCCACTGGCTCTGTGGAGAAACAGAGGTAATGGAAGGAGCATGAGCCTGGGAGCTTAGGCCTATGCTCTTTCCTCTGAGATCTTGGCCAACCTAAGGCCCCAGTGAGCTATGTAATGGTGACTTGGAAAATGGCCCTGCTATCTGCAGAAGGATGAGTGTCTTTGTTCAGGTGTTGAATGTAAGGAGAGGGCTATGCCTCCCCCTCTGGCCCTCACATTGCCTCATTCACATGTCTGCTCCGAATGGACGGCTCTGTAGTATCAGCAGCAGGAACCTCTTCTATATCCATGTGTCCATAATCCTCATTATCGGGTGGCATTTTTCCCCCATGGATTTGTTTCTTTAATTTTTGTGACTTTATTTTATTTATTTATTTATTTATTTATTTATTTATTTATTTATTTATTATAGTCACACACAGAGAGAGAGAGAGAGGCAGAGACATAGGCAGAGGGAGAAGCAGGCTCCATGCACCGGGAGCCCGATGTGGGATTCGATCCCGGGTCTCCAGGATCACGCCCTTGGCCAAAGGCAGGCGCTAAACCGCTGCGCCACCCAGGCATCCCAATTTTTCTGACTTTAAAAGCTCAGGCCTCTTTCTTTGCATACCTTTCATGGGGGAGGAAGCCTCACAACCGTTCCCTCTCTGTGTCCAAGGCAGCTTTATGGAAAATAGGGAAGGTAATTTACTAAGGAATGAGACAGGCTTCATAGCCTAGGATTCAAAAAGTTTTCAATCTACAGTATTTCTCACTCTGAAACTTTTCACCTCCAGATCTGTGAATTGACCCTCATGGCGAAAACCTCCTGTAGAGAAGTGGTTTACTGTATACAGAATACTGAAACCATTAGGAATACAAGAAACTACCACATAATAATAAAGATATATATTAAATGCCTATACCTAGCATCATACTCTATGATGAAACACTGAAAGTGTTTCTTCTAGATTACATAGAAGATAAATATGCCATTTAAACAAGCTGTAATCAACAGAGTTCAGAAATCCAAGTCAAAATAATCAGAAGGAAATAAACAGAATACAACCAAATTGGAAAGAAATAAGTACAATTATGTGTGTTTGCAGATGGCATGACATTATATGTCTAAAGCCATAAGGATCACCCTGAAAACTGTCAAACTCAAAAATAATTTCAATAAATTTGCAGGATACAAAATCAACATACAAAATCTCTCTGTTGTTAGCATTAACAACAAACTACCCCAAAAGAAATTAACAGAAATGTCTGTTCAGGTGTTCTTCACATTTCTTAACTGGATTCTTTGGTTTTTGGTTGTTGAGTTTGAAAAGTTCTTTATATATCTTGGATACTAGCCCTTTATCTGATGTGCTATTTGCCAATACCTTCTCCCATTCTGTAGGGACTTTGTTGGGTTTCGTCAACTGTTTCCTTTGCTGTGCAAAGCTTTGTATCTCAATGAAGTCCCAATAGTTCCTTTTTGTTTTTGTTTCCATTACCTCTGGAGATCCGTCGAGCAGAAAGTTCTGTTGCCGAGGTCGACGAGGTTGCTGCCTGTGTTCTCCTCTAGGAATTTGATGGATTCCTGTCTCATGAGTAGGTCTTTCATCCATTTTGAGTTTATCTTGGTATATGGTATAAGGTAACGGTCCAGTTTCATTTTTTTCTACATATGACTTTGAAATTTTCCAAACACCATTCCTTGAGGAGACTGTCTTTTTTCCAATGGATATTCACAAACAGACATTTCTCCAAAGAAGCCATACAAATAGCCAACAGAGACATGAAAAAAAATTCTCCACATCACTTGGTATCATGGAAATACAAGTAAAACCACAATGAGATATCACCTCACGGCCATCAGAATGGTTACATTAACAAGTCAGGAAACAGCAAATGTTGGTGAGGGTGCAGAGAAAGGGGAAGACTCATACACTGTTTGTGGGGATGCAGGCTGGTACAGCCACTCTGGAAAATAGCATGGAGATTCCTCAAGAAGTTAAATATAGAGATACCTCATGACCCACCATGTGCTACTAGGTATTTCCCCGAAGGACACTAATGTTGTGATGAAGGGACCTGCATTCCAATGTCTACAGCAATAATATACAGAGTAGCCCAACTGTGGAAATAGCCTAGATATCCATTGGTAGATGAATGCAAAAAGAAGGTATTGGAAAATAGCATATATATATTCATATATATATGAATAAAAAGTTATATATATGTATATATGCAGGATGAAATATTACGTAGCCATCAGAGGGATGAAATTTTAACATTTATATCAATGGAGATGGAACTGGAGAGTATTATGCTGAGCAAAATGAATCAATCAAAGACAGACAATTATCATATAGTTTTACTTATGAAGAAATTCAGACACACACACACACAAAACAAATATTGTTCAGGTTCCACTTATACAAGGTATTTAGAATAATCACAGTCATAAGCGAGAGCAGGCAGGGTGGTGGTTACTAGGCTTAGGGGCAGGAGTGTTTAATGGATAGTGGTGATGGTTGCACAAAAATACAAATATACTAATACTACTGAACTGTATACCTAAAATGGTTAAAATGATAAAACTTATGTATATTTTATCACACCAAAAAATGGTAATCGAGGAAGAAAGGAATTTTGTGTAAGGTCACACAGTAAAAGCCAGACCTAGGATCAGAAACTAAGTGTATTTGATTCAGAGACTTAGGTCTTCACCACACTCCCATTCTGTTTACTGAAATGGTCTCTGATTCTATTCTGCTCTCCTGGCCTCTGGGCCTTCTATCATTTGCACATCACTGGTAGAGTTATCTTCCCAGGGAGATGTAACACAGGACAAGGTGTCATTTACCTTCCACATCCAGCCTGACAGCGTCACTTTTGCGGAAACTGACCGGATTGGAGACCTCACACTCATATTTCCCGGCATCCTCCTTCCTGACAGGATCTATGGTGAGGGTGCTGTTGTCCTGGGACAGCTTCATCCTATCCGTGAGCATTAGAATGTGGTCATTGAGGAACCACTGGATAGAGATCCTGGTGTTACTTGAGGAGCAGGTCAGGACCACAGAGTCATCTTCTGTGACTGTGGTGCTGCTGGCAGTGAGAAGGGGTTGGGACACTGGCTCTGTGGAGAAACAGAAGAGGTGACAGCATGAGAGTGGGCCTGGGGCCTGGCGACCCAGCGAGCTCTGTCAAGGTGCCCCTGAGGATGGCCCTGCCTCCTGCACAAGGTTGAGTGTCTGTGTTCAGGTGGCAGTCTGTCAGGACAGGGCTGTCCCTCCCCCACTGGTCCTCTGTCATGTGTCTGCTCTTCCTGGATATCTCTGTACCGTCAGCACCAGGAACCTTCTAAATCTCCATGTGCAGCATCCTCAATATCAGGGGTAATTTTATAGCCACTGGCTTCTTGGGAACATTTCCTGAGCTTTCTGAAAAGATCAGGCCCTCTCTCTAGGATGGTAGCTTTACATAGACAGGGAAGGCATTTATTTCTCTTTTGTGAAATAATTTATTAGAAAATGAGAACGGCCCAGCCAGTCTTTCTGAGCTTAGGTGTTGGAGAAGCTCCAATCTAAAGGGTTTCTCAATCTGAATAAGACTTTTACTTCCTGCCTGTGGATTGACTATTACAGGGAGAACCTCTTTACAGTAGTGGTCACAGTTTCCACAGAAGGCTGGTACTCTTAGCTGTGGGTATAAATATGTACTTGGCACTGCTCCTTCTGTGCCATGAAGGGACATCATGAGGGCATCTACCTATATTGCAGTTGGGCTCCATTATGCAGTGTTCTCTCAGTGTTGGATCAAATGTGCTGGGGTCATACAGTGTTAGAGAACTGGGAGACTGCAGAGTCAGGACACAGTAGAGGGACTGTGTCTGGGCTCTCCCTTTCCCATTTCCCAGTGGCCTCACTGCAGGGAGGCTCTGGTACAAATGGAGACACAGTTTGGCCAGATTACAGACAGGGGTGACTGGAAGGGTGGCATCCAGGTTATTTAGTAGTTAAGTGTCTGCCTTTGACTCAGGTCATGATTCCAGGGTCTGGGGAAGTCTGGGGAACCACTGGGAAGAAAGAGTTTCACCAGGAGGAGGATATAAGTCAGGAGTAAAAGGTACGCAATGAGGCCATGAGCCTTTGGGGACTGCAAACCTGCCCCTACTGCCTTTGACTCTCTGGATGAGTCACGTAGAGAGTAGATCAAGGGACCACATGTCCCTGTCAGGTGTGTTCCACTTCTTAGTGTCATGGAGGGAAAAAGCCCTAGATGAGGGCACAGTGAAAGCTCATTCTCCTGGTGACCTGGGCAAGCTGGCTCCTCACAGAGCCTGGCAGACGCTGCTGCTCTGATTTCTGTGTCCTCCAGGCAGTAGCCTGGGAGGGTGGGCCTGGCCACAGGGTTTAGCAGAAGAATCCAGGAAAGGCTGAAGTGTAGAGGGAGCTGCACAGAGCAGGACTAGTCCCAGCTGAAGAGGAGGAGGAGGAGGAGGAGGAGGAGGAGGAGGAGGAGGAGGAGGAGGAGGAAAATGATGGAGATGGAAGGAGGAGGGAGCCAGAAATGTCCCAGGTTGTGATAAGCAGGGGGTTACAAGTGACTTCAAAGACTCCAGGAAGAACCCACAGCTGACCGAGGGGCAGGGCCTGGGCAGCCCTGCAAATCCTCCCATGGCCAAGCAACACCACAGGCATCAGAAGACTCTTCTCGGGGAGTTGCCTCAGGGGCTGGTGGTCAGAGGGACAGAACATGGCTCTCAGCCTCTGGATGGACAGGGAACAGGTGTGGCGAGGACCTCCTAGGATTTTGCAACCAGGATCCAGATCTGAAGAGACTTAATCATTCATTCATTCGTTTCCTCCTTCATGAAAGAGCAATTGAGATGTTGGGCCCTGTGCGGGTTCAGGGTACATGGTCAGGAGGAGAGGGCGGAGTCCTTTCCCTTACACGCCCGTGGGGTCACACCAACATATCAGGAAACAGTGAGTCCAGGTCCAGTGCAGGAGCTGTGGATCGGCCACTGAGGGGAGGCCTGGGCATTCCCCGCACTGACTCTGATCATTGTTGAAGGTAATTTAGTTCTTGAGTAAAACCATGAATTCTCCATTTGCTCTCACTTCCCAGACCAGAAAACCTGACTTGAGCTGTGGATCCCTAAGAAGAAAGGTCTGATCCACCAGCTGGTCTCAGGGTCCAAGATGCCTAATAAGGCCCCCTGGGTGGAGGAGGAGGAGATGGGGCAGCGGCTGCAGATTGTGAGATTGTGGGATTGTGATCTGCCGGCTGCTCTGGTCTGTGTGACTCTGATTCAGTGTCTGCATCACTCTCTGCCTCCGTTTCCCCTCAATCAAAATCAAGTAAATGGCCTTCAATTAGCTGTGTTCTCTGTAATTAACCTGAAATCTTTCACAATTACCTGACCTAAGGCTGGCTATAGAGGAGCTGCCCAAAAAACATCTGTTATTTGCCTCTGTGAGAGACGGTTCCTTGGGCCTGATCCCAAGTGCAGGAGTTACTGCCAGGAACATCTTCTCTCCTCTTCCTCCCTGGGGGTGCTGACCTTCCTCTGGGGTCTCCTGTCCTCCAGGGCGCTCAGACAGTATCTCAGGACCTTGCCTATCTCTGCTCTCTGCCCCACCTCTCAGGTGAGGGACCAGGCTCTGCCCCTCCCCAGATGCTGAGCCCTGGCAGGTGACCCGCTCAGGAACCTTAGGACTCAGGCACCAGGAGATCTTTGCTCTCAGTCAGCCCTGCCAGGAAGCCAAAACCCAAGCCTAGCACAGACTCCCCTAGCTTGGTCACAGGAGTCAGAAGCCGGGAAACAGAGTCTAGGCAGCGGCTTTCTGGCCTTAGCTTCTCTTGAGGATCCCAGGGGACCCATCAGGCCTGGCCCTAACTGAGCCCCACAGGGTCTTTCTCAGAGTCATGATTACTGGGAGGAGCACCAGGGGCTGGGCTGAATCTGTTTCTCTTTGCTGAGTTACACCTGTCAGGCTTGTTCTCTTTGCAGGGAACATCTGCTGGGCTGGAATCCAGGAGTAAAATTCTGATCTTTGGAAATGTGTCTCCACTGTGTGTCCTGCACTAAATGCTTGAACCACTACAGGGACATAAAGCAGAGAGGCATGGAGGCCCAGTGCAGGCCTGTGAATCCTGTGTGTGTGAGGTAGAATTCCCCCCACCCGACACCAACGGTGAGAGGAATTACTCACGGAATACTCGGAGCTGTCCAGGTACTAGTGCAGTTTCAAATTTTCTGTTTATGATTTGTAGGATGTAGGATCCAGTGTTGTTCAGGGTGATGTTCTGGAACAGCAAGGATCCATTGGGGTATATAGTCTCTCTGCCACTGTATGCAGGCCCCGGGGTAGTGACTTTGGTGTCTATTACATATAATAGAATTTTATGGGTCGGCAATACAGTTTCCCCCTTGAACCAGGCAAGGCCTGCTGTATCTCCAGGCATATTGAGGACCCGCAGAAGAGCGTCCTTTCCTTCAGCAGCATTGGGAGGCATGGACTCCACAGTGACTTGGGCAGTGGTGGGCGGATTCCAGGAGATTAAGAGTGAGACTAGGAGGGAAGAGAGGGAACGGATTAGTGTTTGGACCTATATGTTGGAATGGAAATCTGGGACCCTGGAGGTGGAGTAGGTCCTAATCCCCCAGGCTTAGGGTTAGTGCGAGCGAGCACAGTATCTGGGTGTCTGTGTGTGTCTCTTGCTGGTCAAGGTCAGCTACATGGGTGTGCTAAAACTGGGCCTCTGAACTCATTTCCTCCTTTTGAACACTCTCCCTCAGATGTCTGTGGCTCTCTCTGTGATTGCCCTCAGATACCTGCTCACACTCAGGGGTCCTTGGGAGAAGCCTGTCCTGACCTCCTCCTCTGAAGATCTTCTGTCTTCACGTCCTGACCTTTCCCTGCTCTGTCCCCTTCATTGTGGCTTGTCTTTACCTGACATGACATTCTAGATGTCTCTGAGTGTCTGTCTTCCTCCCAGAGAAGTGAGCTCAGGGATCAGGGACTGGTCTGCTCTGTGCTGTACCCCGGGGTGGCCCGGCTGCAAATACCCAGGGCTGAGCGTCCCCAGGGCCCTCTGAGTCTGGCGCTTATCGGTCAGGACCCCAGGGTGGTGGCAAGGGCAGGGTTTGGGGTCCCTGGTGTGGTTGCCGTCAGCTTGCAAAACTGAGTCCCCGGTGAGGAGGCCCTTGGGACCCAGCCCCTCACTCCCCACTTGCAGATCCCGAGGCCGTCCCGCCGCTGAGCCGGCTCCCCCGCCCTGCCCGCGGCCCCGTCCCCTGCGGAGCCCCGTCCCCCCCCCCCCAGGCCCCAGGCCGCCGCTCCCCCGTCCTCCCGCCCCTCCCAGGGGATCGGCCCCCTCACCTGCCAGCAGGAGCTCCTGCCAGGGGCCGCGCCCTGCTCGGGGAGAGGCCGAGGGGGGCTCCATGGTGCCCGCTGCCCGCTCCGTCCGGCCCGGGTGAGAGCAGCTGCAGCCGCGCAGACGCTCGGGCCCCGCGGTCCCGCCCGACAGCTCCGCGTCCTTCCCCCTCCGCGCGGGGTCGCCTCTGGGGGCGGGGCCGGGTCACGTGGGCCGGGCGGCGGCTCGCCGGCCCCTCCCCCGACGGAGGTCCCGGGTTCCCTTCCTCTGTCCCGGTGGGGGTCCCCGCAGCTGCTGAGGCCTCCCCGTCTCCAGCTGGGATTTCCCGGCAGACGCGAGCGCGCGCACGGGGCCTGCTTGGCACGAGCACGAGCCCGGGGCGTCGGGCCCGGGGCGCGCCCCGCAGCTCGGGGGCGAGGTGCAGGGTCCGCGCCCCCACAGCCCTCCCTCCTCGCCCTGGGGCTTCCCCCTGCAGAGCGGGAGCCCGGGGCCGCCTCCAGAACGCCTGTCCCGGGACGTCACCCCCACCGGGCCTGGGGATCACCTGGGGAACGTCATCAAGACTGCGGAGGCCCAGGTGACCCCTGGACAGGCTGCTTTAGCAGATGCGCAGCCAGGCTGAGACCCCGGGACGTGGCGCCGGGGCCGCCTCTGCTCTGCGCCCACGCAGGGAGGGTCCGCAGATCCTGTGGAAAAGCAGATCTGACTCCGCAGGTGTGGTGTGGACCCCGGAGCCTACATCTAACCAGCTCCCAGGGGACGCGGATCCTCCTGGCCCCGGGGAGCAGGCTTTGAAGAGCCGGGCTGAGGGGGACCCGGTTCCCTGAGAGGGTGACCCTTGTCCCTTCCCTCAGTGACCTCTGCTGTGTCCTGGCCTTGAGTCTGTGGGCACCACACACACAGCCCAGGGTCCCCAGATCCAGGGGATCGTTTCCCTTTGTTACAGAGAAGTCCAGCCGGGCCTGGGTCTCCCCAGTGATCTCACCTGCACTGGGGAGGTTGGATTTCCTCCTCGCAGCAAGGTCACAGAGAGGGCTCTGGGGGTGAGAAAGGGGCAGACTGTTTGATGACTAGTGAGGGACCTAGTGGCCAATCCTTTGTGTACCTGCTGCCTGGCCTCTCAGGAGCTCAGTTCCCAGATGGGAAGTGGTTTTTCCTGTGTCCTGGGAAGAGAAGATGGTGGTGGCATATTGGGTGTCTAGGACTCCCTGGCTCAGGGAAGGATTTGAGGAGACCCTCCCTCTCAGTGTCTGTTGGCTGACCTGCGGCCCAGAGAATGTCATTTGCTCCCAAGCATCCTGGGCAGCCTGTCCTCTGCCTCATAGACTTTCCTATGGTTTACTCTGCCTTCCCTGTGGGTGGTGCCAGGCAGGCAATAGGAAGTTACATAGGGACCCCTGGAAGATTGGGGTGCTCCTAGGGCCCTCCTGGCAGCAGGCAGGACAGTTCTGGCACGTGGGAGGGACCAGAGGTTCTGTTGGAGAAAGGGATGGAAATTAGGCTTCTCCTCCACCTCATCCAGAAGCTGCTTCTGGGTTTGCACTCCTGTGTGTTGTCTGCATGTCCCTATGTCACCTCCTGGAGGTGATGCTGGGGCAGGCTCCAAAGGATTTGAATGAACTCAGCCCTTTTGAAAGGGCTAGCCTATTTAAAATCAAGTCATTTGCTTTCTTTTTTAGTATGCTGTTGTAGGAGTTCCTTATATATGTTAGTTATTAATCCCTTAACTTTACATAGTCTGAAAATATTCTCTCTCACTTGGTAGGTTGCCTTTCCATTTTGTTCATGGTTTCTTTTGCTGTACAGAAACTTCTTAGTATGATATAGTCCCGCTAGTTGACTATCATTTCTGTTGCCTGTGCTTTTTGTGTCATGTTCATAAAGTCATTGCCAAGATCAATGTCATCAACATTTTCCCCTATGTTTTTTTCTTAGGAGTTTTATTGCTGGGGTCTTATCTTTAAGTTATTCATCCATTTTGAGGTGATTTGTGTATGTGTAAAGTAAGTGTGCCATTTCATTCTTTTGCATGTGGCTATCCACTTTCCCCAACATCATTTGTTGAAGAGACTATCCTTTCCCACTGTGTATTCTTGACACCCTTGTCGAAGATCCGTTGACCTTATATGCATGGATTTAGTTCAGGGCTCTTTGTTTGTTCCACTATTGTTTCCCTCTGTCAATACAGGTACCTGCTAGAGAACTGGTTCTGAACTTGGGTTTGGCTCCTCACATCTCAAAAACCCACACTTAAGAGACAAACGATGGCAGATGCACTCGTTGGAGTGCTGTCATCATGCCTTACTGTTTTGATGACTGCTATTTTGGAATGTAGTTTCAAATTAGGAAGAGTGATGCCTCCAGCTTCGTTCTTCTTGATCAAGTGGGCTTTGCTATTTGGCGTATTTTGTGGTTCCATGCAAATTTGAGAACTGCTTTTTTTCTCTTTCTCTGAAAAATACTGTTGGCATGTTGATGGGGATTGCATTGCATCTATAGGTCATGTTGACTAGTAACGATATTTTAACACAATTCTTCCAATCCATGGACAGGGGATATCTTTTCATTCATTTGTGTGTGTTTCAATATTTTTCATCAATGTCTCACAGTTTTCAGTGTATTTATCTTTCCCCTTCTTGGTTACATTTAGTCCAAATTATTTGATTCTTTTTTTCTCCATTTTTTTCCTCAGAAGACCTTGAATTCTTTTACTTATCTGTAAACAAGTTAGTGGCAACAAAATTTCTTTAAAAAAGAAATTTAAAAATTTCTTTTTAAAAGATTTTATTTATTTATTTATTTATTTATTTATTTATTTATTTATTTATTTATTATAGACAGAGAGAGAGAGAGAGGCAGAGACACAGGAGGAGGGAGAAGCAGGCTCCATGCCAGGAGCCTGACGTGGGACTCGATCCCAGGACTCCAGGATTGCGCCCTGGGCCAAAGGCAGGCGCTAAACCGCTGAGCTACCCAGGGATCCCCATATATTATTTTCAATACACTGCAGTTTGAAAGGTGTACCAACTAAGAGGCATAAGAAACTTCAAAAGCCATAGATACAGAGCTTAGAAGGTGAAGGCTGTGAATGGCCCTTATCATTTAACGCATGCTGGATTTTCCATTCTTCACACATAAGCAGGTAGGTCACGTTATTACATGGGCCAAAAAAGAGCTAATATTCCAAGAAATGGAACTTACTCTGGCATTCTCCTAGGTTTGAAGCCTTTCCAAAGTCAAATGCCAAGATACCAGCAAGTGTATCTTTGGGCAATGATCTAAACAACAGGCTCTGCTTTCTTGGTGGTGGCAAATGGGGCCTTTGTCTTGCTTTCCATGAGTAGACACTGAAGCCATGGTGTCTTTGTCTTAGCTTCTCTTCTAGTTGAGTGTACTCTGCTTATTCCTTGACCCAAAATCTGTGGGGACTTGGGGGTTGCCTCCCAGGCAGCATCTCTGGTCCCCACAGAGCAGTGCTCACCTGCCTCTGCCACTACAAACAGGACAGGTGCTTGCCTCCAGGTGCCTGGCTCCACCCCTCATGGCCCCTCCAGAACAAAGTATGTCATTGTTTCTGATGGTGTTGTAAATGGGATGATTTATTCAATTTCCAGGTAGTTTGCTGTATGTTCCTTGTAAAGTAGAAATGCACTGATTTCCAGGGGCACCTAGGTCACTCAGTGGGTTGAGCATCTGACTTCAGCTTGGGTCATGATTCCAGAATCTCGCAATTGAGCCCCAAGTCAGGCTCCCTGTTGGGCAGGGAGTGTGCTTCTCCCTCTCCCTCTACCACTCCCCCTGCTTGTTCTCTCTATGTCAAATAAATTTTAAAAATAAGTTAAATCTATAAATACATACATAAATGATTCTTTATAGAAATACACTGATATCTATATATTGATTTTGCATCCTGCAGCTTCCATATTTGTTTATTAGTTCTGTCAGTCATTGATGGAACTTTTAGCATTTTTTATAAATGAGATCATGTCATCTACAAACAAGGACAATTCTTTCCTGGCACGAATGCCTTTTCTTTCTTTTTCTCGCTAAATTGCTCCAACTAGGACTCTCAGTACTATGCAAGCACACGTGGTGAGAATGAGCACCCTTGTCTTGTTTCTTATTCTAGTAGGGAAGCTTTCCACCTTTCATCATTATGTATGATGTTCGCTGTGAGATTGTCATATACAGCTTTTATGTTGAAGAGCGACATGCCATATATTTTTCATACTTGTCATTTCTGCATATCTGTGTCTTTGCACAAAAAAATGTCCACTGATCAGAAAAGATTACACTCTTGCACTATTGGTGGGAATGTAAAGTAGGCAGTCACTCTGGAAAACAGTATAAGGGTTCCTCAAAATATTAAAAACGGAACTACCCTGTGATCCAGCAATTGCACTACTAGGTATTACCCAAGGGATACAAAAATACTAATTCAAAAGGATACATACACTCTGATGTTTATAGCAGCATTATTTACAGTAGCCAAACTGTGGAAACAGCACAAACGCCCAGCAGTTGATGAATGGATACAGATGATGTGGCATATAGACACAATGGAATACGACTCAGTTACAAAAAGGAATGAAATCTTGTCAATTGCAACAATGTGGATGGAGCTGGAGTGTATTATGCTATGTGAGATAAGGTGCTCAGAGAAAGAGAAATACCATATGATTTCATTCCTGAGGAATTTAAGAAACAAAACAAATTAGAATAGGGGAAAGAGAGAGAGACAAATCAAGAAACAGGCTCTTTACTATAGAGAACAAACTGATGGTTGTCAGAAGGGAGGTGGGTTGGGATGAGTGAAATAAGAGATGAGGATTAAGGAGGGCACTTTTTTTTGTGATGAGCACCAGGTGTTGTATGGAAGTTTTGAATCACTGTATTGTACACCTGCACTAATATTACACTGTATGTTAACTAAATGGAATTTAATTAAATTCTGAATATTTATTTTCATTTGATAGAGAGTGAGTGAGAGAGAGAGAATGGGCAGAAGGAGAGGATCTCCAGCAGACTCCACACTGAACAGTGAACTCTGTGATTCCACGACACCCCGATCATGACCCAACTGAAACCAACAGTTGGATGCTCAACTGACTGAGCCACCCAGGTCTACAAATA